TCTAAGTTTCATGTGGTCATAGGTGGGGCTTTTTGGAGCAGGCTGGACCTAGAGTGTGATGCTGGGATCAAAGATGCAATGCTAGGAAAGAGTGTGAGTGCTACCTGCCCTAAGGTGACGAGCCCGCATAAGATATAAGGGACACAAAGAGGCTTTTCTCTTGCTGCTCATTGCCTTCCGCCCACCATGAACTCTTTCTTCTCTGTGATGCCCCACTGCCATGCCACATTGCCTTGGAGCCAGCTGTCTATAAGCCAGCCTCTACTAACTGTGAGATAAATACATCTTTCCTCCTAACTTTGGATGTTGAGCATTTTGTCTCTGCAATAGAAAAAGTAACAAAGACAATAGTCGATGTTAATAGCCACACTGGTGTCTACTTGTCTTGTACTAGATTCTTTCTGTCCAATTAACCATTACACACTATTTAAAAAGGAAGCACATTCTGTGCTTCTGGTTCTTTTTTGATACCAGGCTTTGCATGTGTTGTTCACTGGATACTTGTTGGTCCATCATGTCATTCTATGTTCTTCTTGCCAATGTAATCTTCAGAGTATTTCTGTGGGGGAAAAAAAAATCTCTTAATCTACTGTTTCTCAATCTGGTTTTGTTTTTTTTTTTTTTTTTTTGCTCCGAATGCCTTCAGGGCAGCTTTGGCTGGCTTGAGTTGTGAGGATCGAACCACAGCAATCTGAGCCTGACTGCTTTGTTGAAGCAGCCACTTAGAGAACTGAGCTACGGGGCAGGCCCCCAAAGAACTGAGCTGCGTGGCAGGCCCCCTACAATCTGGTTTTGAAAATGAAATCATGTATATAGTTGTATTCCTAAGTGTGTTGAATCCAAAGCTATACAAGACTCCTGAAGGGACAAATCCAGGTACCAACAAAGACACTTTTCTGAATTCCCATGTTTTACCAAGCATCAAAAACCACCAGTCTTTTAGTTCTTTTCTTGTACATTATTCTGTATCCACATTCTCTACATCTGATTGGATCCCTGGATTTAATTTCATTTTCTGTGTGACATTCTCCACAGATATATATCATTGGCCGCTGCTTTGGGGGTTGAATGTCCTGCTGAGTGTGCATTGTTAGTGTCTGATCTGGGCAACACCGAAGGGGTTCCCACTCTGACGTTTCTAAACAGAACCTCGCTAGACGCTCGAGATAGGGTCTTTTTTTTTTTTTTTAATTTTATTTATTTATTTAGTGTGTGTGTGTGTGTGTGTGGCCAGCTCAGCCCACCTGGGGGCGGGGCTGGCTGGCATGTGGTGCTGGGGGATTGAACCGTGGTCCCTGTGCTTTGCTAAGCTTGTTCTAAGTAGGTGCTTTGGACCACTGAGCCATCTCACCAGCCACTTGAGATAGGGTCTTACAGTACAGTTCAGGCTGGCCTTGAACCCACTCCATAGCCCAGGCTGGTCTTGAGCTCACAACGATCCTCCTGTCTCAGCCTTCTGAGTGCTGGGGTTACTGGTGTGCACCACCAGGCCCGGCTGATTTTTTTTGGTATTTTATGGGTTTGTGTAATGTGACACCTTCTGCATCTGCCTTCTCTGACTTATACAGCCCATTTTTTGGTCCTTGAGCTTGGCCAGTGACGCTGTCTGGTGGCAAGGACATAGGAATCCCATAGGCGATGTCCAAGGCTTAGTGGGTATTTAAATTGTGGCACAGCTTTAAAGACAGGAAAGAAATTTAAATATAAAATAATGTAGCGGTTTCAAGTCTTTAACTGTTTCTGTTTTAGACTTGGCAATCTGCGTACTTCTAGGAATTTATTCTATGGACAGAACCACACGTGTTACAAAGACATGAAGAGAAAAATACTTCCAGCAAAGTTGTCTGTAGCAGCGTGACAGCCGCCCTGGTGACCAGGGACAGAGAGCTGTCGGGGTGAAGGTGCAGACCTCTTGACTCACTGAGTTCTTCCTCTGCCACCAGGGTGACACCTCCGGAGACTTCAGGAAGGCCCTGCTGGCTCTCTGCGGCGGCGAGGACTAGGCTGTGGTGGCAGCCGCCGTGCCCGAGCTGCAGTTCCAGCTCCGGAGACAAAGGAAGGAGCTGGGGTGGGCACCTGTCCCCACCCACCAGGGCTTCAGACAGACCCTTCCCAGCCCTGCGGGTGCAGCCCCTCCGCTCCGGCCCCAGGCCCAGCGCTGCAGGGAGGTGACCCTCGCCATCCTGTCCCCTTCCACCTCCGCCCCAGAGCCCCAGCCTCCCCGACCCCTGCTCCGGGCTTGTCAGACCCTGAACACACTGAGCCTCCTCTGTGAAACCGTGAAGCGAGTGGTGCGTGTGCTTTGAACGGAAGGGATCTCGGTGGGCCGGGAGGAAGGGGCAGTGAGGGCTGCAGCCCCCTGCGCGCTGGCCCCGGCGGGTCCTCCTAAGTCTCCAGGTGCTTGCCTACAAAACCAGAGAACTGGACGAGAAGACATCTCGGCTTCTCTTTTAACGTCAATGTGCGAGAGTGAGCCTTGGTATGTCCCCATGATTCCCACTCGTCCTCTACACGGAAGAACAGCCGTTTTCAGCGGGGCTGCTGCGGCCCAGGCTGCAGCCTGCTGCCTCCTCCTCCGCCCATGCTGCCAGCTCTGTCCAGGAGCGAGTCCGTCGTTGCTGGCCATTGGGCGCTTCCTGAGAAGATCACGGAGTCGGAGCTTGCCCTGGGCCTGGGGCTGCCCAGCGCCAGCTGGGGTCTCGGGTCCTCTCTGCTCCCCGTGCTGCCTGAACACCTGCAGGCGTGCTCCTCACCCACTTTGGCCAGCCGCACTGCTCCCCTGCGGACCTCCGCGGGGACACTGGCATGACCGTGACCCGGCTTGACCCATGGGAGGTTTGCACTCCCTGCAGGTCCTGACAAGCCATTTTCCTTCCCCAGCCCCACGCTGGGTCTGTGACTGGTCCCAGGATTGTCCAGTGACTATGGCAGGAGCCACCTCCTGGCTGGGGCACTCTGCGCACTGCCAGCCAGTCACTGCAGTTCAGTGGGGGTGTGGTAGTAACTGTGGCCAGCAGGTCAGGTGAGAGACCTGGGAGGTCTAGTCTTGTCCCTCCCTCTCTGCATGACCTGGGCCCACCATTCATTTATACCGTGTAGGACTCAACATTTTTTTCTTTTTTTTTGGCAGAACCAGGGATTGAACGCAGGTCCTTGCACTTGTCAGGGAAGTGCTTATTCCACTGAGCCATCTCCCCGGCCCCAACAATTTTTTTTTTCTTTGATGTTTTTGAGACAAGACTTTACCACACAGTTCAGGCTGGCCTTGAGCTCACTTTGTAGCCCAGGCTGGTCTCGAACTCCCAACAATCCTCCTGCCTCAGCCTCCTGAGTGCTAGGATTATAGCATGCACTACCACACCCGCCTGACCCAACAATTTTGAAGAATTCTATTTTCCATCTTTGACACAGTAGAACTAAGGGGAGTTGTGCTGTCTTTACTTTCCTCTGCTAGGCAGCGAGCCCAAATTCCTTGAGGGTCAGCAGAGGGCTGTTTTGCCTATTTGTCCAGTTTAACTTAGCTGTCACTGAAAGATAAGTTAACAAGATGGCTGAGGGCTTTGGAGCAAGATCTTTACCACTGTTGAGCATGGAATCTTTCTTAAGCCAGCAGCCTCAGCCTGATCTGCAAAGTGCACTTCTAATTGGACCTAACCTATTGCCTCATGGAAGTCTGGTAAGAAGTTCTTGGAAGGGCTCGGCCTGCGCCTGCTTGGAGTCAGCTGTTGTTCCTGCTGCCCGGCACTGGGCTCAGCTGTTAGAGCTGAGAGGAGAAACCATGCAGCTCACTGACCTTTGATTTCAGGAAGGTGATTGGTTAGCTGCGGATTGCAGGGCTGCCTGTGCCCCAAGGCCAGGAGTGGTGGTGCTCAGGCAGGGAGTGGAGCCCAAGCAGGAGAAGGGAGGAGGCCCAGGAGGCTGAGGGACGGAGAGGAGGCAGCCTGGGGACTGGAAGCGAGGCACCTGGCATGGACAAGACACCACCCCAATGCTCCCCACACCCATTTTTCACTTCATTTTTAGCTAGGGTGGCTGCTTTAGGGACTGGCCAGTAACAGGAGGGGACTTGGAGGATTTCTAGGGTGAACCAGCAGTGGGAGTATGGACCAACCTCTGGTCTTGAATTCAGGATTTTTCACTGCTGGCCCAAGGAAGCCTTTGGAGGCTTGAAGTAGAGCGTATCCATGCAGTCACGTTTACAAAAACCTGTCCGAAGGAAGCCAGTCCTGTGAAAAGGCTTCCTGGAGGAAATTTGCGTAGCCCAAGGCAAGGAGGGAGCCCTGGGTGGAAGGTGGAGATGGAGGCAATGCTAGCAGCCCCAGGGAACAGGATCCACATACTCCAGAACAAACCAAGAAACCAAAAGTTCTCTTGGAATCGCTTGTGGCAGTCGCTGTTCTGAATCCCAGGCATCTCCTTCATTCATGAGCCCCCAGCTTTCTGAAGGTCTTCCACCTGCCAGCTCCCCCACACGACTGGGGGTTGCTTCTGGGGCCAAAAGTTCAACCAGAAGTGGTAGGGGCTAAATTACTTTGAAAGAAAAGTGAAAGCCAGGGAGATAGCTCAGTGGAATAAGTGCTTGCCTGGCAAGAGCAAGTCCTCAGTTCGATCCCTGGTACCACAAAAAAAGAGAAAGCAAAAGCTCGAGCTGTCTCAGTGGGAGCCATGGAGTGGCCGCCACGTTTGGAGTGCAGAGGCCAGGTTCTCAGATTCCCACGTCCCTTTCAGTTACAGCCGAGACAGCTGTCACCTCCACAGAGAACAGCCTCTGGCCCAAGGTCACAGCAACTTGGCAGGGGACAGAACTGGACCTCTGGTTGTGGCCTGGGTCCAGGGATTTTACGATCACTGTACTTTGTCCCATCACTGTGGTCACCCTCTGAAGTGAGCACAAGGCCTGGGTCACCTTCCCCAGCTCCAGTGGTGCCCCTCCTGCCCTCCAGGAAAGCATGGCTCAGAACTTACGGCTGGAAAGAGCCACACTCACACTTCTGGGCCTCGGGAACTCTCTGAAGCAAGGGGCTGGTACAAAAGCAAGTGGCTGTCCTGTGGCCTGAGCAGAGTGGCTCTCTGGGAAGCTCCACAGTCGCTTCTGGCCAGTGCCTAGTGGCATAGGGACCACTGGGTGTGTGTGCTGAGGCCCTCAGTGGTTACTGTCCCTGGGCTTGGCTGAGATTATAGAGTAAAACCACACTCTTCCTGGCCATCACATACTTCCTTTGCAGTTATAGATGAGGCCCAGGCTCCTAGTGGCAGGACAAAGTGCCTGGAGACATCACACAATGATACCTGCACTGTTGTGTGACACATTTGGTGACAGGCCTGTAGAGCAGCTTGTCACCAAGCTGTTAGTGCGAGCTAGATCTAGGGCCCAGACCTAGACCCTGGGCTCCTGGGTGGCAGAGGGCAGGTCACAGGCAGCGGAAGGCAGAGGTGGCAAGTTGCCCTACCTGAATTGCAGAACTCAGTGTGGTAAATCAGCGTGGCACTGTTCCCCACCAGACCTCGGTTTCCCAAAGGAGACTTCCCCATTTTGCAGTCAGGGAGGCAAGTGGGAAATTCTCGTGACCTAACAGCCTCTGCTTAGGTCCTCAGCAGCCTGAGCTTGAATCCCAGTCAGCCACAGGCAGGAATCTCGGCACTTGCCCTCCACAGGCCTGATCACCTGGCCTGTGCAAGGTGAGCCGCAAGGCTCCGTCTCGTCATGTCGTGTCATGGAGATGAGGCAGGACAAGGCCTGCATCTCGTGCACACGGCGCAGGGCCCAGGACAGGCTCAGTAGACAGTAGCTCCTTAGGGTTAACAGTGGGCAGAATTCTGCTGCATAGGAAAGTAGCAGGCCCAGAGGGGGCCACGCGGCAGCCTCCCTGCTGCACTGCACCCCTCACCCTCCAAGAGCTGCTTGGGCAGAGCAGGTGACTCCACAAAAGCCCCAAAGCGCAGACCAGAGAACCGAGTGCAACGACTAAGATGAGCCACAGGGGGCGCGGACGGCGATTTGGGAAGTAGACAAGCTGTAGCCAGCGCAGGGTGCGGGACAGGCAGACCCTGAATGCTGGGAAGGCAGAGGCCATCGCAGGCCTTGGGAACACCACCCAAGGGTCATGAAGAGTCCAGGAAACGGCCGTGGACTTTACCCTCTGAGCCTTGGCAGTCGCAGATATTCCACGGGTGGGGCGTGGCATGCTAGAGGTGTCCTTTAGAAAAGTCGGCTCTGAGGCCGTGTGGGGGAGGGGCAGGGCTGGGTGGGGGCCCTGGGGAGCCAGAAAACAACGGACAGGCCCATCCTGCTATGCCGAAAGGAGAGTGGCACATACAAGCCAGGTGTCCTTGCCTGGGTACCCAGGAGCGGGAGGAGCTTCTAGAGGCAGGTCACAAGCTTCGCCAGCTGGACAAGGACTGCCGAGTCCTCAGCCGCCGCCCCCTGGATGGGCCCTCCCCCAGCCTCGCGGTCCTAAGAAGCTTTAGCACCTGCGTTTCCTTCTGTGCGGTCCTGCCCCTTCCCCTCGGGTGCACCGCGTGCCTGCTGTGCTGCCCGCTGCAGCCAGCACTCCTCCCTGGGTACCCCAATGAGGGCTTGGCCCAGGATCAGGAAGAGCTGAAGGAAGCAGAGAAGGAAGGAAGTTGGTGTTTCCACCCAGCGCTACGGGGGCACCGCTCAGCACTCTCTGTGCATGCAGAGTGGAGGTGCACTGCTAGCGAGACATGGCACACACATGGGCGCACACAGCTGACCACGCAGAGAAAAGTGGAAAGTTGGGCCCTTCAGTAAAGGCAGAAATACAGGCGCCGTGTCGGTGTCTATAGACCAGACCGCACAGGAGCACTCGCAGACCCCAGACCTGCTCTGCACTCGCTCATGGGGACGCGCACACACCTTCCTCGGCACGCTTTTGTGTGCCGTACACAACTTGAGGCATGGCCGTGGGTCTGTGCATAAGCTCAGTGACAGGAGGAACAGTCAGCCCTGGCCAGAACGCCAGGGGCTGGCATTGGCCTCCAGCCCTGTCTCGCACCTGACTTTTCAGGTCTGACTGTGGGGAAGTGAGAGCAGCTCCCTGGAGAGCCGCAGAGCACCCGGGATCAGGGATGGACGGCAGCGGCACTGAGAGACAGAAGGCGCAAAGAGGCTCTCCTTGGGGGCTGCCATCCCAGCCCCGTGTCATGCTAGAGTCCCAGGAGCCAGAGTGCAGGGTTGTCAGGGCAGCCTCTCCTTGCTCTGCCCACCCCCACAGGGCCTTGAA